CCTCTCGCACATTAACTTTTCTTTGTTCCATTCTCAAACCAACCATTCCGTTTTTTTTTCTTTTCACAGATGTGATATCTACTGATTATCTAATTCTTGTAATAGTCTCAAATTTAAACTGGAATTGAAATAAAACCTCGAAAGATCAAACATGGTCTTAAATAAAATCTCAAATTTAAATCTGTGAATTGTCTCTCTTTTTGGGTGGTTACAGTTTAACATGTTCGGAGCTTAGTTGTCTGAAAATGGTCACCAAAAGTGACTATCTTTGTTTGCAGGTTTAAATTGTTTCTTTMGAACTGTAACCGAACACTGATTTAAAAGAGAGCTTGGATTAATTACAAAGGCAGTAAATCAAAATGAAAACTCTGTTACGGAATCAACATTGTTGATCATGAGCATCGCTGCGTTCCTGATATGAAACTGTATCTTATTCCAGTTGATAACGTATCTATATGCATTTGAGGATTGATAGTAGTTATGATTAAGATTTTGGATTTTTATGTAACTCTAGGCCAAAACATGAGGAAGCTTGTGAAGGATGGTTTCATCATCATGAAGCCAACAAAGATCCATTCATTCACACGCCAAGAGAAAAGGACGTCACTCTGGTTACGGTACCTAACATTTGGAACCATCCTCTTAAAAATTTTGATAGACCATTTTATGTGACATTGTATAATGGTTAAGGTAACCGAAAGGGTTGCCAACAAAGGTATTGTGGATGAGAGTCTTGAGCGTCTTCTGAACAAGTATCGAGAGACCAAGAAGCTGTAAAGTTTCCAAGAACAAGCATGTCTTGATGGAAAGTATTCACAAATCAAAGGCTAGAGAACAAGACTTTTTTGGCTGACCAGTTTGAGGCTAAGAACAAGGCTGGCCGAGAAAGGAAACATGCTCGGAGAGAAGAGCGTGGTAATTCGTGAATTCATTTCAGGGTCGTGGAGGAGGAGATATACAAGCTACTGCACCACCACCTGCGCAAACAGCAGTGTATGTTTCGATCCTTATCACATATGAAACAAAGCCTGTTTTGGTTTAATTTGGTTTGTTTGTTTGTTCTTGCAGGGTACCCGTAAAAAAGAGTCTAAGAAATACATAAAAATCCGATTGTGACTTATGGACATAGCCACTAGATAAGCAAAATTGAGATGAATAAACATTGAACATTACTTATGGACGTCGAAATTGTAAATTTCCGAACATATAATAACCTTCTAATAAAAAAAACTACTTCTCAACAATACCATCGAAATTGTAAATGCTAATTCATGATATAAATTTAATTTTTGTTTATAATTTTAAATAGGTAAAGGATATTTAAAAAAAATATAAAATTATCAATACGAAACAAAGAATTATAATGTGATTATTGTGAAACAACGCATTATCTACTTGTTGACCAAAACACAAAAAGCAAATTCATATCTACTTATGAACAAACAAAATCGAAAACATTACTTCTTCATCGTCTGGTCTGCAAACAGTCTCATCAGATTCTCTAGTATTCTCAATTGTTTTCGGAATCATCTTTTGTGGAGGCTGAAAAAGCAACAAGAAAACGAAAATTTTAGATCTCAAAACTCAAAACAGGTCCAAAAAATCAAGTTCTACAGATGTTTATACCTCCTCGCCAAGCTCTAGAGCTCGTTTCTCAGCAGCATCACGAGCTTTAA